GAAATCTTTCAAGAAAGTGAGGCAGCACAGGAGGCACTCACTCATCTCTGCCAAGAAATTTGGAAGACAACTATCTGGCCGACTGATTGGAAAAGATCCAAATTTGTGCCCTTTCCAAAGAGAAGTGACCCAATGGAATGTGGATATCATCGTATAATCTTTTTGATATCTCAAGCGAGTTAAGTTTTGCCAAAGGTAATACAGAAACGGCTACAATCATACATAGACTTTATTCATAGAGGTAATATATTAAAAACAAAAAACAAAAAAACCCCATGTTTTTTTACCAAAACAGTGTAAAGTAGAGAATATTTTAAAATAAGAGTGTTCAGGAGTTGCTACTAATCTTTGAACAGTTCTATTAGTATGTAAATTTCATAAAATAGCTGAGCTCCAATAAAACAATTGTGAGGATGGCCTGGGGCCACTGGGCAGTGCTTTGTTCTGTTGTACAAGGAGTTGCTATAACAACAACAACAACAACAACAACAACAACAGCAATCTTTAGGAAGCAGACTGCCTCATCTTTTTTCCCATGGAGTGACTGGTGGATTCCAACTGTTATGTAGAAGCTAAGCACCTAACCACTGCGCCACCAACTTACAAAATACACAGTGGATTATGGGAAGTCTGGGCTAATGTGCGAATTCTGGAAGTTGCTTTAAGTGGACATGCGGTTTCAGGCTGTACTCCCTATGTTTTTAGGATGACAAGGCATCCCAGGATGAGGCACGGAGTGGCATTTTCTGCTGGTGTTTATGGGATATCAGGGTCTGACAGTCAACATACCTTTCTTGTTCAAACATCAAAGAACCCATCTTGCTGAAAGCTCTGAAGCACTCTGTTTAGAAATCTAAACCACAAGGGGGCCATGAAAGTCACCAAAGATAGCTGCTGATGGCCTCCTTCTGGGTGCTAGGGAAGGAAGGCTGCAGACCTTGGGGAACTAAGGTTGGAGACCCCCTGGAAGTCCTGAGAGTGAGTTCAACCTTGGGAGGTAGGAGGTGCCACATGCCAGGAAGACTTGAGTGAGTCTCTGGATTTCACCCTTTGAACCACACTCACAGACTACCCTCACAAGTTTTGGAAACTCACCTCCAGATAGCTGACTTTCTGTCTTCAGAAAATTCTCAGAAAAATGGAATTTCAGTGTAAATACACTTTATTTGCTTTCTTTTTCTACCCCCTTTGTGTGTGTGAGTTTACACATAAAGAAAAACATTCAGAATCTATATTTCCCTTCTAAAATTAATTTGAAATGCATGCATTCTAATGTATTTCTTTTGAACTACATCTTATTTAAGTGACAAAGCCTGGCACATAAAATTACTGAGAATTTCAGTACTTTTTGTTTTCCAAAATATCTGCCCAGTGCTGCTGTAAATGTCTTGCAACTATAAGGTAAGGATTGGTTTTTTGTTTTTCTGCTTTGAACTATTGTAAATCTTAGAACTCATAGAAACAAAGGAATGTGCCAATTTCCTCTTCATTTGCATCTCAGTTTTAATTAACAATGGATACACTCAAGAGTAGCCCAAGTCATCTATCAGGTATAGTTTAGTAGTTAACAACTTGTGTAAAACTCCAGGAAGGCAGGGATTCCTAACTGCAGTGTGGCACTGTGGGTTAATGTGCTGGATTGCAAATTCCATATGAACTGCAAGGTCAGTGGTAGCAAGCTCACCAGCCACTCCTTGGAAACTCTATACAGGGTCACTATGGGTCAGAACCAACTGGATGGTACTTAACAACAACACTAATCTTCTGAAAGGAGTCCTGGTAGGCACTGTGGGTCAGGCGTTAGATTGTGAATGGAAAGTCCAGCAGTTCAAGCTCACCAGATAAGGGTGTCTGCTTCAGGAAAGATTTACAGTGGACTGCTAACTGAAAGGGTCGGCAGTTCGAA